ATGTCCTACTACAAGTCGACAAAGTTATAGCATGTTCCTGAGGTGACATTGATCAGGTGGTTATGTCTACTGACGTTGAACGGTATGGGCAGCTGTTACAGTATCATATGAACTTTAACTTGACTTCACTTCGGCACAACTCGCACACCTAGTAGAGAGCTAGACTGCTGATATGATAGGCCAGGAGACCTCTAAATTATAGAGCACAATTTTGAAATCCATCAGGCTTAAATTACACAAATTTGTCTAGAAACTAACACCACGATGAGCCCCGAGTCAGATGAATCAGATCAGTGGTAGATAAGGCGCCCGAGGCTTCGCAGTGTCTTCTACCTCACAGAGTTCTCCCCTGCGACAAGGCTACGTCATCGATCGCGTGGTGTCAGCAAATGCGGCCCGGCCCACTGTGGGTCTGTGGGGCACGTTGCGTTAGTTCTCGGCACGTAAACAGACATGCACAGTTTGGCACCCACCTTTTTGCGGAGACTTCAGGCCATTAACTAACTTTAAAGTTGATTCCAGTACGTTTGAGATTTAAACTAAGAGTCTCCGCTCGCAAGACGAAGTGAGGGCATGGATGGACCACCACGCGAAAAACATTCTATCACGCCTCAAGTTCCCTATGAGATCTTCCTTGGAGCCATTAAACCCTAAGCGGGGACAATGCGGCGCTTTTTAGAGCGATGTTGGTCTGCAAGACATGGACCGCTTTCGAAAAAGTGTCTTTTGGCAAAGTGTTGAACCCAGTGCGCTCTGGAATGTCAAAGACGCCAGGAGAGCCGGGTATTCTAAATATACCCGAGAGGTACGCCTGGCCGCCTACAACTTCTTCGAAGCTGCCGCAAGGGACATTTCCGTCAATTGCCCAGTGGCTCCGAACATCCAGCACGTCCATATCATGCTGTTTGACGAATGACCGCAAACCACGGAATATTCGCAAAAAGATGTCATGTATTTGTTTCCTAGCGACATCAAGCACCTAATGTTCAAAGGCAATATGCCAAATTGGAACCCGTTCAGGGCGGCGTTTATCGGATTTGCCAATTTGGAAGACCTTGACGTTCGTGAATGCGACATACTCTCCGGTGGCGAGCGTCCCTCTGCGACGGGAAAGTCTTTAGTAGATTTTATCCCGCAAGATAACTTTCAGCGGCTCTGGGTCACCCGCTCTTAAGTGTCCGTGTTACTCGCCTACGCAATGGGCAAACGCTATAGAAAACAAATTCTCGATGGATCCCACTCTCAAGATCCAGTGTACATACCCAAATCGAGGGGCGGATGTGAGAGGATGTACTTAGTTGTGATCAATCTTTACCCCATCAAACTTGACAACAACATGGCCGAAAAATTGGTATAGTTGGGTATTATATTCGACGAACGAGTATCAGAGACACCGGCAGACAACATCGCTCCTGCCGCTATCCGCAGCCTACAAAGCCTGACGAGTTTATCTACCCTAAAATTCTCCACATCAATTCCATGGTCCCCCTCCCCTCCCCAAGCGATGGGGCTAACAGACGACGACATGTTCAAACTGTATGCTTCACTTAACAAGCTAATCTCGTTTACTTTCAGAGCCAAACATTAACTCACGACGAAATCGTTGGTCGCGCGTGGAAGATCCTGCCGGGAGCTAAGCATGTACACGTTTCCCAGGAAGTTTGATCTGAAGTCGTTGAAGGGCAAGATGGGCTCGCTTTTCCTTCGCCTTTCTCATTAAAATATACACCCGCAGTGGTAGTTATCATCGTCAAGGCCCCTGATCTGTCTTCACTCCCGTTTGATCAAGAACGCAGGGTTAGCCTTTTGAAGACCCGTGAAGTTGCAGCGAGCCACTTCCAACAAGTGACCGGGTAGTCGGAGCAGAGGCATCAGGTCATGAGAGAAATTGAACACTGTTATAAAAACGTGTATGGCCAAATTCATCACGTTGCAAGAGCGTATACCTATGGGCGAAAGTGAAATCTAGGTGCACGCCTAGTGTGCGGAGACTAGGTCAAAAGACACGGACGAAAGTGCATGTAGATGTTCATATGTGTGTAGTGGTTGTTGTGGTGAGGTGAGGTAATGTGCGGACCATCACCCCACGCTATTCAAACCTAAGTTTAGTCCCTCTCACTGAGAACACATCACCGAGCACGCACTGAGCATAAGCGGGACCGTACCTCGGTGTAGGGAAGACATCTTAATTCAAGGTAAGAAAACCTGGGAGACCACGACCTTTATCTAAAGTCCACCAACACATCCCATTAATTCAAGACCATGGAAAGGGACAGTTGTTGAGCCCAGCAAATCTCCATCCTGAGTAGGGATTGGGAGCTACATGTAGCAACTACAGTCCGGTCGTCAAAACATGGACGGGAATGTAGTTACCACACGTATGATGCTTCCGGAAAGGTATAATAGCTGCTTATACACGCACTTGATGTTCCATCTACATTTCAGTAACGTCATTGCTCCAGTTCACTCTGCCGTTTTCCCGCTGAGTTCGAAGAGAGCGCATATCACTTTAACATTGGTGTTTGGGAGAGGGTAAGCAGGCTGTCAACCATGAATCCACCTGGCAGATGACATGTCAAATGGCATGACAGGTCACGACATTTCTAACGTCCAGCGGACAATCTCGAAATTCCCTCAACTGAGCACCGCACAAACATATCCATCGCGAAAGAGTTTACATCCTTCCAAAGGCAATTGGCTCACCTCGAAACTACCTTTCACTGCTCCGAACTTAAAGATGGCCGCCTCTAACGCAAGAAAAAAAAAGGTATGAAAAGGCATCCACGCAAGGAACCTTCCGTCCTGGGTAGAATCCCCAATGAGATCTTCCTCGAAATCATCAAAGCCATGCGTAGGGACAAAGCTTCATTCTTCAACGCGATATTGATCAGCAAAATGTGGGCTGCATTTGCAAAAAGTGTCCTCTGGCAAAGTATCAAACCCAAAGTGCTCCGGAGAATTGAACAGGCTAGGCGGGCCAAGTACACAAAATATGTCCGTAAAGTACGGCTTACCGCCTACGGCCGGCTACTAGCTTCCGTAAGGAACAGATATGTGGGTTATGTTGATGTTAGTCGGGAGCCAGTCACAATAGGGCTAGGTGCTATAGGGTTGGAGTCGGTAGGCGGAACGGCCCATGCCGCTGATGCGTCACATTGGCAGAAAATAGTCATTGGAGTTAGAGATTAATATAGGTAGAGATACCAGTATCGTTTCCGTTCAGTTGATCTGAGAGTCTCCTTTAAACTACTAGGGTGACCAGTAACCTCACCTCCTCTAGATCTTGGTAGCAGGTAGCTACAACAACATTGTCTTTCATGTCACCTCCCATTCCTATCTTCACTAGGTTATGCCTTGGTTCCGCGCCTCAGGCGTGTTAAACAAAAGTAAGAGACTCTGCATAGGTGTGACAAATCTCTACCGCCTCAAATTCAATACCAACATGGTCGCAAACGTGGTAAGCCTACACATTACCTTCAACAACCGAGCAGCAGAGACCCTCGAAGACAACATCACTTCAGCCGCTATCCGCAGTCTACTGAACTTAACGAGTTTAACTGCTCTGGAAATCACCAACTCATCATCATAGACTTACCCCAAAGTCATGGAACTATCAGACGAAGATATGATCGAATTGTTCACTTCACTCAACAAGCTAATTGTGTCGGAGGGGTGAATCTCCGAGGACTAGAGCGGAGTGGATGTCAACGACGAAATTTTCACTCAACTTTTACTGAAAAAGGTGAAAAATGTAATTGTCTATCTCTATGAGGTGAGGTTCGAAACCTCCCCCACACTACCTCAGTCTAACCGCATTTGCCAGGACAACGTCAGCGAACCATGCCCTTAAGCATGAACGAGACAATGACTCGTCTCAGGGAAAACTTCCTCTATAGAGGCAAAAACCCTGAGAAGTTTCGACTCCTATCTATGGTTCTGGTCATGGTGGGTGCTACATCCTTTTGACAAATAGTGTTTATATTCAGAGTTCAGAATTAATTCAAGACGAAGTTGGTAGTCGCGCTAGGAAGATCCTGTCGGGCGCTGAATAAGTGTATTTCTCCTGCAGAGTTGGATTTGGAGCTATTGAGGGGAAAGATGGGCTTAGATTTTCCTCGCCTTATGCATCTCAATACTTGCGCGTCCTGGAGGTTTTGGTCGTCAGAGCACCTTATTGGATTCAAGCATCGCTGCTAGGGCGTATGCGGGGCACTCGTATAGCAAGTCAGCAATACCTTCTGCACTACCGGCTCCACCCTAAGTTTTTTCCTTCACAGAGGTTTTCCCTCAGGGTCATGTCATATGTGACAGGGCGAATGCGCCCTGCTAGTGTACGACGAGACGTTACCGGCCCACCGGTGCAGAATTTATATTCTGAACGTCCCCTCATTTTGATATAGATAGTCATTCACACTGTGATATCGACACTGGTATTGACTCAAATCCATCTGCATCTGTCCTGTCCCTGTTTCCATCTATCGCTTCGTCCTTTTCGGGCCACTGCGCACTCTCGCCCACGAGAGTTTAATCGCTACACACCTGTCCTGCATTCACTTAAATGCGAAAGTGCAGGCCTAGCTATCTGAAGACTCGTGAAGTCGCAACGCGCCACTTTCAACAAGCGATCGGTGATTTGAATCAAAATCAGGCTGTAGGATATGCTGGATTCTGTCGGTAGAACGTGCGTAGCTAAACTCTTACTTTGAGACTATCCTAGCCAAAATTCCTTTTCTTAGTCATGAATACCATCTCGCTAGCCACTCATCCACGCACCATTCACGTGTTTCCTGTCTAACATATTGACATATACGTTTTTGATTCTCTAGCAAAAATATTATGAATTATGGTGGTCCAATCCACGTGATTGTCTGCCTTCACATTGATGGTATCACCTCATACATTGTTATTCGATTAACCTCAACGAGGACTCCATGCAGTACACCTGTCAATTTTTCACTTCCCAAGAAAATTTTGGGATAGGAGAATTAAAAGAATTAAATTAGCCGGTGAGAGGCTCGAACTCTCGGCCTTGGCGTATTCTAACAGAAACCCGTGGAGATCTCAGGGTGATCGTATTAGCACCACGCTCTAACCAACTGAGCTAACCGGCCATCTCATGCTAGTATATAGATAGGATTGAATCTTTATCCTTGGTGGCCAAGGATATAAATAGTCATGTCTCTAGCACCCGAGTATGTAAGCTTCACAGACTCAAGATTGACATCCCAGAACCCGGAATGTGCAAGGTGTCATTGCAATTCGAATTCTTGCTACAATGTCTAGGAGTTTTATACTTGCAACAAAGGCAGCAAGTACTGATCGTTCAACTTTCATCGACGTAGGGTCTCAGAGAAACATGCATCGCAACGTCTTTAGCTGAGAAGCTAACTACGTCATAGAAGTCTTCCTACATCATTGGTCCCGATTTCACTTTAACGTCACGCAGCTCCACTGAAGAGCAATGAAGCTCCTCGCCATTACAATAGCACTGCTTGCTGCAGTGGTACCAGGGCATGGAAGAACTGTGCAGCAAAACAACTTGGCGGGACTCTTTACAGAAGGCTACGGAGGCGGCAACGTATGCTTGAGCGAATTCCAACGGGCCATAATCGAAGTTGCAGCTGTGCCTTATTACACCAAGCACTTGGGACCATTTTGCCTCAGCGAACGGCAGTTTGTCAAGCTTGCAAGACTAATTGAGAAAGCGGACCTGTCAGATATGTTTGACGTTTATGCACCAAAGGAACCTGTCGACGACAATGCTGATCCACACATGATGGATTACGTCTATGTTCCCCCTGACGGAGAACCACAAAGCCCTGCGATGCTGAGAGAGCTCAACGAGTCGCGTGCTAGGCTTGCTTATTGGATGATACAATTCCTGGGAAGATAATAGGGGTTAGAAGACGTAGTGAGGTTAGCTCAGGCTTGTCACTAGGAGATCATTAGTTTGAAGGATGTGTCACGTGATGACCATGTACAACGTCCTTTCATGTATGCAGGACATATAATAATACCATTATTCGTGTCTTAGTGTACTCACACTATCAGTTCGTCCCCTTTAACTTCATTCGAATTTTGAGATAGCATGGAGCTACGGTTAGTATACTGGATGAGAAATGTTGCATGTTCAGAGAATAGAGCCTGCCGCCATCGCGTTGTCTTAGGACACACTTATATCATTTTAAGCCCTTCCCGCGCTACAGAGTTCATTAGAATGCAACTACTGGGACCGTTTACGTCGCACTCATCTATTCATCTAGATGCTAGTATCTGGAGTTTCGGGCGACGACACTCGAGCGCTGTAGGAGTTGAAGACCAAAATCCTTCACTACTGAAAGCAATAGGTAAATATAGGAGTTGGAGGTGACACGAAAGACAATCTTGTTGTTACTGTCACGACTAATGCCGACAGTGTTGATGCTCTCTGTAGTAGAGGTAGCGCGCCTGGAGCCATCTACTCGCGCGACAACATAGTTTTAACGCGTACCCTGACAGTTGCTACCTACTACCAAGACTCTAGAGGAGGTGAGGTTACCGGTCGTCCTAACCCTATTTGGGACTGGTTCCTATTGTAATTGTGAGTAGATATGTACCTGCATACAAATCTCTACGGAAAACTAGTTGACGTGTGAAGTCGAGAGCCGAGCGCCGGTTACTAATAATGCGTGTAATATACCGCATATTCACAACAGTTCCCGACTAAAATCACCAAGCATATGGATGCTGTTTTGCCAGACTTGACGGGATTGCCAGTGATTATACTCATACTTCTTAAGTATGTTGAATTGAAAGTTGTCAAAATTTAGGCCATAGTTCTGGACTCAGTATGTGCCCGTAAGGAACTTGACTTAATGTTCCTCAAAAGGCCTTGACCTCGTTCTTCTCGCCAGCCACAACCCAAGTCACGTTGCACACTTCCGATGAAGCTGCTCAATCATAACAGTTGCAGTAGTTTCTGCAGCGGCACAAGCTCATACATCGCATGGACGGAATATTCTCGCGAGACTGCAAGGGTACATGCGCCTGAACTAGATACAAAGCAGCTATCACTGGTGTTGACAGGAAACAGCGATGAAAGAAAGACAACGCGACGGCCCGCCCGAGCCGGCGGGCGGGACTATGTACAAGAAACAACTAATCTATCAGCGACAACAATGTCGATCATACGATCGACATGACATTAGTCACCGCCTTGTAGTAGCACACTTCAACTTATGACATGTAATTTTCAACGAAATTGGTCAGCGGAAGTGTTCCGCGGGACAACACCCTACCTGTCGCATGATGTCATATGCAGAATCGGGACGGTCCGCAACATGCGACATTAGCCACATCGCGGTAAACTGCTCCACAACACAACACGATGACGCAATCAGGCCGTGGATATGAACGTCAGGAATCTGAGCTTGAAGGAGATGAATACTCGGACCCGGATTTCGCTGAATCCAGCAGCGACTCAAACAATGATCAGCCACGGGTGATCCCTACAAAGCGGATGATGATCGATCCCGCCCTTCGAGGACCGGATGATGAAGACACGGAGTATGGCCCATCTGAAGAGGAACAAGAGAGCTTGTCAGAACCCGAATTTCCTGGTTACAGAGGTTCAAAGAACGTACAGCAGGTTGGAGGCAGTGTTGTCCGCGAATCTGCTGTTGATGGACCATCTATCGATCGGTCTCTGCGAAGGTCAAACGACTTCTGGAACTCAAGAGACAGTGACGATCTTGGCTATGGAAGGCCAGCAAAACGTCCAAAAACTAGATCAAATACAGAGCCTGAGAATCTCTCCAGACGGACACCGAGCCGCCGCTCTCGCGGTTACAAATGGGCTCTAAAAGGCACAGAGCATGACCCTGCTAGGATAAGGGCCAAGGAAAGAGCCGAGGAAAGAAGGATCATGAAAGAGCAGGGAAGATACAGAAGGCCGAGGCGTCGAAAGGAAGTCGACCCAGGCCCAGTCTACACTGACCACTTTAAAAGAGCATGTACTGCCTACATGCAGAAACGAAACGACGATGCCATGGAACAAGTTCTTCTTGCCATTGAGACAAACCCCGCGATCTTTGATGCCCACCGCCTTCTCTCTGACATTTACCTTCGCCAAGGTGATAAAAAAGCTTCTCTAACAGCTTTAACAGCCAGCGATAAGGTCCGACGTGATGCTGAAACATGGATTGAGATTGCTGAGCGGACTCTAGACATTGCTGGAGAGGATGGAGACGAACAAATGTTAACACAGGCCCTTTCGGCGTACAGGAGTGCTGTAGCCTTATCAAAGCAGGCGACGACGGATGAGAAAAAGGCGCTGAATTACCAAGCACGAGTTGGAAAGCGCGACTTGCAGATAACCTTGGGGAAAACAAGCGATGCAAGGAGAACAAGCAAGCATATGCTCTATTTTAACCCTGGTGACATGGAAAATGTTGGCTATTACGCTCAATTAAGCGCACAGAGCACAAATCCCCAGGAGATTGACAGTGCAATTGAGGCATATGAAAAGGCTTTCGAGGCACACCAGGGCAACGAACACTTCGCCGAGGGTCCAGTCCAGTGGACACACATCAATCTGTATATCGAACTTCTTGAGAAAAAGGGTCCAAGCCACGCTCAGAAGGCGTTGGCTATCCTCAAATGCTTGGCAAGATGGACGCTTGGCCGCGAAGAGGAGGCGTTTTGGGACAAATACGAGGATAATGACTGTGAATTTGACATCGACAATAAGCGCCGGCATCAAGTTCCTGAGTTCGAACAAGGCCAGGCCTCACAAGATCTGAACAAGTACGGAAAATCGCTGCCCTTGCAGATACGCGCAAAGCTAGGGTTGATCCGGATCAGCATGGGCGAACAGCACTTTAACGAAGGGCTCTATCACCTGAACCATCTACTCACGTCCCCTGAGTCTGAACTCGACGACGAAGCCTATCTTTTGTTCTTGAACGTGGCTGACCGGCTCAAGAACAGCAAACTGTGGAATGAGGCTTTGAAATTTTACACAATCGTTCAGGAACTATGGGAAATAAGTGATGAGATGTTTCTTCTCAACATGGGCCAATGCTACGCTCAGGTGTCTTGCACGAAAGAGGCTGAGGAGACATTTGACGAGGTCATCCGCCTCGCTCCAGGCCACATTGCCGCTCGCCTAGAGCTTGCTAAACTGTACGAAGGCATGGGTCGCGTGGAAGAGGCAATTATGTTGGGTATGGAAGTGAAGCATTTAGCAGCCATCAACGCCGATCAGGGTAATAAATCAAGCGGCGAGGCAAACAAGCTCCGTAAACAGAGAAGACCCTTGCGAACCGGCATGTCTCCGTCCAGCGTAGCAGGGCGTCGTGGGTATAGGGGGGCAACCTTGTTCAATGGGGAAAGGGTGGAGACGCGTCTACAGCGAATGGAGCTGGATCAAGGAATGGTTCGGACACACTATAAGACAGTGAAAGAGCTGTGGCCCATTATCGAGGAAGGGGATTTTGAAGATGCTAATGTTGATCGTTGGATGGCTGCCGCTGCGGCTATGGCCACTGCCTTTCGTAATATGGATGTATTCTTCCCTAGCGCTAAAAGAGTACGACCATTTACAGGGTACCAAAAACGCGGCAGGAAAAAGGGACCAAGTGAGGAAGTGAGGACAGCCGTGAGCATGTTGAGTCGCTTGCGAGCCGAAGATGATGAGGATGAAGAGGCGGAGAGTGAAACTCCAAGCAACATCCCCGATGACTTCCACAGCATTCAATTTCCGGAATGGCATCACTTGTTTGTTGACCTGGCGCTGCTTTACGCCAAACGTGCAGATCAATCCTCATGCTACGATCTGCTGAAAAATGTCATGTTTACGGCCAACGTATTTTACTGCAAGAGTGAGCTTCACTCCATTAGCCTTTCAGCCGCCCTCTGCTGCGCAATGATGTTCAACGATAGCAGCTTTGCCACAGATCTCGGACGAGAGTTCGTCAAACGCGGTGACTATCGTGCAGGTGAACCTTACCAACTTCTGGCTGCAACAAACAGGCTAACTTACGGCCCGACATGGGGCGGTGATGGCAGACTGCTAAAATTCATGGCCCGCATGATCAAGTTTATGGACTACAACTTGCTGCCGCCAGACATA